TTCTGCCTGGGCCGGGGACAGGGCAGTGGCCTTTGGAAGAGAAAGGATGGCTGGAAGAGAATTTGGGGTTTGTCTGCACCGTGCTGGGTGAAGCACCTCACTATTCCTGAGCAGACACGGGGCTACAGACATTCGTATTCCTTACGGAGCTGCAACCACGCAACCTGGCACAAACGGTTGGGTTCTGTGAGCGTTATTTGACTGTTTGTGTAAGTGACAACATACATCATGAGAAGGGACTGGGAATTCAGCCGGGCATGTCTGTGTAGCAGCCGTTTCTGCCAAGACAAATGGCTTATGGCTCGAGCGAGGCCTCTGCATGTGCTGATTTACAAGCCATTCATCTCTTCTCCTAGAGCAGTCGGTAACAGAACAAGCGAAAAACCCCAAGCAGCGGCGCAGGGATCAGCAGGCTCCACCTCAGTCCAGCCCCAGCGTTTTGAGATAACGACTGAGCCTGTACACAGTAACGTGGTGCGAGAGGGGCAGTCTCTGGGTGTTGGCGCTAGAACCCTGATCAATCTGCCCCTCTTCAGCCCTGGAAAAGCCACAGGCGAGCAGATGGAGCTTCTCAGCAATCCAAAGAATTAATTTCTCATGCTACATCGAACTAGGTAGATGTGGTATTGCCATAGCAACTTGAGAGAGAACCCAACTGGAATCCTGGCAATCCTTGAGAAAAAAGAAAAATACACTTTTACTCATCTTTTTGTACTTCCTTACTACCCGCCCCCAGCTCCTGGCTAGTGTTTGTGTTCCGCAGTGAGACCTCTCTTGCTCTGAAGAGGTTTTTGCACAGACAAACCCTTTGAGTTGTCTCTGCGCAGTGCCTGTGCAGCGCTTTGAACACACGACGGGGATGCTGCGCAGTGCCGAGGCAGGTCGCGGGACCAACTCCCGTCTCTTTTAACGGGGCGGAGTTTGGCCCCTGCAGTCACCGTAAACCACACGCCAGAGGAGCTGCAGAGTGGCGAAAGTCCCTCCAGCCCGTTTGGGGTTGCTTGGGCTTCCCAGCCAGCACCACGGGCTCAGGACCAGTTGCCTGGCCGGTCCCAGGAGCGTGGTCCCACGAGCACACTCGGAGCCAGCTCCAGAGGCAGCC